GGGGGGAGTGTGGTTATAGTGATAAATAAAAACCACTTCGGAAAATTTTCTTGAACAAATTGTGCAGGAGAGTATGTTACATTTAATAGCAGTTAATGCACAATGAGATTTCAGGGTCACCTCTTGGAGATTAGATGAAATAAGAAAATTTGAACTGAGTTGATTTGGTTGTAAAGGATTAAAAGAAAAGGAAAAGTAGACAGCTAGGTTGAGGGAAAAATCAAATTAAATTTGAATTGAAAGGAAAATGTAAGTAGAGGCCTCCGACAGACACAATCATGGTGTTGTGCCCAAGGAAGGCAAAAGCAGAAATGTGCATCATCGCCACTGAGACGGTGGGGAGCTGATGCATCGGAACCCTAAAGTATGAGGAAAAGAGAAGCCCAAAGATAATTTTGGGGCAAGATGGGACGCCATTGCAAAAATTCTCAGAAAGAGCGTTTTTAAAAGTAAAATGATGGGAGCCAAAAGTGTAGGTGACTGCAGTGAATGCTTCTCATTTGTTCATTCAACAAATATGTGTATTGAGCACAAACAGAATATCAGAGGCTGTTCAGGTGGCGGTGAAACAGCAGTTTAAAAAGGGACAAGTAATTAGGGCAGTCGGAGCACACTGATACAGGACAGAATTAATATTCAACTTTAATGTGACACTATGTGAAAAGGTTTAAGAATAAAAGATGAATATATGGAGACCACAGAGAATGGGAAGAAACATTTTTATCTATATATTCTCTATATACTTTAGTGCCTGTAGCTAAGAAGTTAATAATTTCTCTTTTTACCCTAGGTAGTAATGTTTAATGGATAATAGTGGTAACTAAAAGCGAATGATACATTCAGGGCTCATACTGAACAAAGAAACAAGAGGATACAGGTACAGGACACATGAGATAATACAATGATTCTGAATTCAACCGCAAACCAGAAGCACCAGCTCTGCTCCAAATCGTTAAGTAACAAGGGACCACCATGCGGAATTTAGGCCCGCATCTTTTCTCTTTCATTGTTTTATGCTTGTGGGCATGGAACTCAAAGTTTCCAAATTATTCCCTTGCAAGATGGCAAATTAGCCCCGTTACTAGTTTATCTGTTTCTCTTTAAGAGAAATAATTTAAGTAATTATTGAGGAAAAAGCATAGGATTGCATCATGTTTCACATTTGATCCTTTGACATGACATGGAAGCATGGATATTAAGTGTGAGATGCCCTGGTAAACTGAAGAGGAGAGCAGCAACCCCGCACCCTTCAGGCTCTCCAGCGTGGCCTGGGGAAATGCCTTCTTAACTGAAGGTTTGACTCTCATTTAGCCTGCGTGCTTCCCTACGTGAGTGAGAATCTCTGAGGTTAAATGTTCATCTCATTTGGCTAGTTATTCATATAATTCCCTGGGTCTGAGATTGCCCAGCAAAGACCTCTTTTTTTCTTTTTAAGCAACAAAGAAAAACACTTCTGTGCGTGACCGAACTAAACCTGGGGAGCAGCTGCGTGTGGCCCGCGCTGCCTTTCCCCCGGCACTTCTCGCTGTTCCGGGTGCGCACCGTGCTGCGCGCCCGCGCCAAGCCCTGGGGGTCTCCTCTGTTTTCCAGCATGCTCGCCGCCCGCCGCCCTTCCCCTGGCCTTCTGCAAGCTGCCCACCTGATGAGGTTCTGGTCGCCCTTACGACACCGTCCTTCAGGAATCTTAGAGATCCCTCTGGACCAGCATTCCTTTCCCCAGCACACACACACACACACACACACACACACCAGCATTCCTTTCCCCAGCACACACACACACACACACACACACAC